AAGAGTGTTACTCAAAGATCTTCAAGGTATTCATCCATATTTTCTAAGTTTGGAAGGTCAAGCATTTAGATGCAGTATTAAAAATGTATCAGAATTATCACAGTTTGATCCATTTATTTGGACTGAAAAGGCATGTAGGGACTTTGAAAACTTCATTTCTGCATCTTGTGGGCAACTGACTTGCATAATTTATGCTCTAATTCTTATAAGTCCTAACTGTTTGTGTAATGTAGTTGATTTAAAGACTCCATTTATTAGCACAAGGCAGTTTTTCAGAGAGCCTGAGTGTGTTCCAGCCCTGTTCACAAAAGAACTTGGACCACTCTTTTTTCTGTATAGTTTTTGCTACTCATCTTTTGATGTAAAAATTGGAAGTGAAGAGGAGGTATATCTAACACACATACGTAGCCCTTCAAAATTTTATTGCCAGCTTAATCGAAACGCTGAAATCATAGATGCATTGATGCTGAAGACTGCTGAGATTAGTAAAATGCCAAGGAGTCCAAAACATGACAGTAGCAACATACGATTATGCATAGCAAAATACTTTGAAGATGGTATGTTTTATAGAGCTTTAGCTTCTGCTGTGGGGTTGTCATCCTACTCAATAGTCTATTTTGTGGACTTTGGAAATAAACAGATGGTAGAGAGAGAGAAACTGATACCTATTCCAAATAATGCTGTTGATGTACTATTCACACCCATGCAAGCCATCAAATGTTACCTGCCGGATCTTGTAGAGAGAGAGATTCCAGTAGAAGTCAGTAGATGGTTTGAGGACAGCTTTATGGGGAAGCTCCTGAAGGCAGTAGTTGTATCTAGAGAATCAGATGGCCAGATTGGTGTGGAGCTGTATGATGGAAATCTCCAGATAAATAAAAGAATTAAAGAAATGTTATCGGAGTATGTAAAAAAATACACAGGGGAATCTGGACATGTGCTAAGTTGTACTGGACAGTTTGCTGCAAATAGCAAAATGTTACACACAGAATTCAATGAAGCAAATGTTACAAGTATTGAGAGAAAGGGCTTGAAAACTGAAACAAAAAAACAAGTGTATGATACAACTTCTCAAACTGATTTTAAGCAGGGTTTTGAACCTAAAGAACAGGATGTGCTTACGGTGCCAAAAAATGTGCCCTTAAAATTGTCAACGTTCAATGGCAGTGAAGAGCTAGGCTCTGAAAATATTGTGAACTTTTCTGTGCAACACAGAAGAAAAAGTACAGATAAAAAATTTACTTCCAAATTGCTGCACTGTTCTGCTGTGTGTATGGAGAAGACAACTGCAGATGACGTGCCTGAAACAAATACCAAGAAACTAAATTACACAGGTGAGCAAAAGAGTAGTCGAGTAAGTTTTCCCAAGTGTGTAAACCTGCCCCCACGTAATATTCAAGCGAATTCTAAGTTACCAGGTTATATTTCTAATCTAAATAGTTTGTCAAGTTTCTATATTCATCTTGCAGATGATGAAAATCTACTAATTCAACTTGCAGAAGAACTCAATAAAGGAGCAATAAATACAGACTATGAACGTTGTCTCAATCAGTTTGTAGCTGGGGATCTTGTTATTGCAGAATATGCAATTGATTGCTCTCTGTATAGAGCAGTTATTAAAGCTGTTAGATCAAAAGAATCTTTTGAGGTAGAATTTATTGATTATGGCAATACAGCAGTTGTGAATTCATCAAAAATCTACAGGATTCAAACAAGGTTCTTAACTTTGCCGAAGCTCAGTATCCACTGTTCCCTTAGCAGATTAAAAAGTAGTTCTCCTGATAGAACCTGGAGCCGTGAACTTATGTTTTACTTTGCCAGAGAAGTGATTAATAAGCCAATCATCTGTGTGTTTTTGCAAGATCATGAACAAAAGTGGGAGGTGGATATACTTTGTGATGGAAGGTCTATGGCTAATGACTTACTGGAGAGGGAAGGCAGCTCAAGATTACAGAAAACCCAAGTGCTAGATGTGGAAACGAGAACCAAGGAAAATAGCGTAGTCACAAGTGTTGACTCTGAAGATAAAGTACAAAGGAAAATATCTGAAGATGCAAATAAACACAAGGCTGAGAAACATCTTTGTTTCCTAGAAACACCTAGAAACACCTCAGAGAATCTGTCTAAAATTCCTTTTCAAAATTTAAATGCTGGGCAGCTAGAAATAGCTGAAATAATTAATGTTTCAAAATGTGGAAACTTTTGCATAAAATTAATTAAAAATGCTGAAACATTGAGTCACTTAAAGAGAATGATTGCCAAAGAAGTAAAGAAAAACTGCTTGCTTGCCTTTGAAAATATTAAAGAAGGGTTAGAGTACTTGACAAAATCTAAAAGAACTCTGAGTTGGTACCGATCAGAAGTGATAAAAAAGTTTGAGAGTGAAAAGAAACTGTTTGTTTTTTTTGTGGATTGTGGTAGATGTGAAACGGTATCCTGGCACAATACAAAAATGCTCTCTGCTGAGATCAGAAGTATTCCTAAACAGGTTGTTTCATGTAAATGGGTTTGGGTTAAAAATTCAGGTAAAATACCATTTGACCATGTGCTGCAGACAGTTGCACATCATGAGATAAAGATCCTGTTTTTACGATACTTAGAATCTTCTTGTATCTGGGAAGTAGAAATCTTAATGGATGGGATTCTACTTTTGGAATATTTGAATCAAATGTCAAGCCAAGATAAAAGTAAAAAAATGAATTGTTCAAAACGTGCAAGTAATGTACACTCTGTGATGTCATTCAGGATAAATTCAGTTACATGGGCACTATTACAAAGCGGTAATCAGTACCATGGATTTGCAGCTACAATTACTGATCCTTCAAACTTCTGTGTTCAGTTAGAAGACTTATTTGACACTATGAAAACTTTGTTCATGCTACTCTCTGACCTTCCAGATAACTTACCAGCTTTGCCACAGGAATTTGTGACTCCTGGTGTGAGTTGCCTGATTAAGCTTGAGTTGGAAGCACAGTGGAATAGGGTAGAAGTGTCTGAAGTTTTAAATCACTCTATTCTACTTACGTTTATTGATTATGGTTTTCTAAAATACATCCCTTACTCTGATATCCATAAACTTAAAATCATTCCGGATGAACTTGTTTGCTTGCCACGACTAACTTATTTATGCTTTTTATCTGGGGTGAATCCTGCGAAAGGGAACAACTGGAGTGATGAAGCTAAGCTTTTGTCACAAGAATTTCTGAGTAAAGAAGGTCTGATTTTCCGGTTTAAACAGTATGGTTTTGGAATGAAATTAGAAGTAGATGTTTTCTGTGAGGAAAGAAATCTAGCCGATATCCTGGTTGCTGCTGGCTTTGCAGTCTACATTAGAAGTAAAAACTGCTTTGTTGCACCTTATACAAAACCAGAGAAAGCATGTTCACAATCTAAATGTGAATCTCAGCACTCACTCTTGCAGCTTTCTGAACCAAAACTTGACTGTCGGGAAAACATTGTTTTGCCATTTGAAGACGAGAACTCTCAACAGCAAATACTAGATCTGCACAATAAAAAGGACCATTGTACAGTATCAAGAAGGAATTCCACTAAACCACGTGCTGGAAGACAACTGAGGAAGAAAACAAAGTCAAATAATAATGATAAAAGTGCAAAAGATGAGCTCAAGACTGACCGAAATAAGCGTATGCAACACTGTGATGTGGAATGTAAAGTGAATGGCACAGAGTGTATTACTGAAAAAAAATGTGCAGAATCGTTGAATGAAACTTACGAGACTTCTGATCTGAACACCAGAATGAGAGTAATGAAAATAAGGGAAGAGATGCCATCAAATTCATGTTTGAAAAGTAAGTGTCAGTGCATAGTATAAAGTTTAAGCATAAAACTATTCATAGCTAATAAAAATGTGATTTTTTTTTTGCTTTATTTTGTTTTCATACAGTTTTCTCTCAACTCCAGAATTGTTGAAAACATTTTGCTTTATATACTAACAAGATTTTACATTTGGACAGCGGTCAAGGCATGAAAATCTTAGGTCAGAAATGAAAATTTAAATCTTTTGAGAATATTTTAAATGTATATGAAAATGCAGGGTCATAACTATATCTCAACTTTAACAATATAATTTTAATTACATGTACGTATATGTATAATATATAATATGCATAAGAGAGAGGGATGTATTATAAACAAAAACATGGATATTATGGGTCATACAAAATGTTCTTTCCTCAAAGATTAAATATTTGCATGATACAATTCAGATTCTAGTTAAGAGGATTAGCAGAGTTCTATATCTTGGAACAACATGGAACAATATGGAAGCTTGTCATTAGACTCAACTAGCTTCATTTTGTCAATGAACTTGAGCATCCTAGAGAAACTTGTATTTTTATCTGTTGATATGATAGTTTAATGACACTTTTTGTAAACTATATAGTCCAACTAGGCCAGTGACATTTGTTTTGGTATATTTCGAATTTTCATGGTCAGAAGTTTAAGCATCAGATTGTGAGACTCTTACTTATGTTGATGTACTTTGAACCTTACATTTAACTTCAGTGTAGTGTAGAAGTGACACATAGTCAAACCCTTGTTCTGAAAGAGTACATTCATTGCAATCAAATATTCTAAAGATTGAAACTTTAAGACTGATGGTGTGTCATATTTACTTCTGAAAAAAATTGTATTAGAAACCTATATAGGATAGGAGAAAAATATTCAAACTCCTTATATTCAGATATAGGTGACTGAATTTAATGTTGGGGATTGTGCTGTATTCTAAGGTTATTGGTTCATATTTTTGCCATTATCTACTTGTTTGGCTAAGCAAAAGCGTGTGAATGTAAATGGATATGTATTAGGTAAGTGGTAAATATGGATTTTCTTATGAACATGGGGTTAATATGTGATCTGAGATGAAGACCCCAGCTCAATTAAGTCAGTGGTGACTACTGCTTTTGCATTTCACCCATGCACTATTTTCTTCTCTTTTTAACTTCAGCTCATTAGTTTTGTTCCATACAGACCAGCAGGGAGAAGATAAAACCTTCCTATTAAACTGAATCAACTTTGTTTTCAGGAATTTAACTTAGAAAGAAACGAGCATATCTTTAAGCCTGAAAATCCCAAAGATTTTTCTTCATTTACTTTTAATCAAACTTGATCCTAAATAAATTGGATCAAGTTTGATTATTGGAAAATGTTTGTGTTACTGATTATTTGATTGTAACTCTTTATTCAAGTTGTATACCTATATGGTAATGTTTGCCTGTATAATAATGTTACATTGACAGCTTATAATACAGATGTTACAGGAAATGATGGCATTGCAATGGAATAAAAATGGTAAATGCATGTATATATTTAGATGTTTATGTTTGTCTTCATTTTCCTCTATAACACTTAAGATTTCACCTGTTGGATACATAATAATTTGTGGCTAAATTATTTTGAATACTTTGCTTTGAAGCTCACTTGTAAGTAGTTGATAAATATGTTGAAAAGCATTATGACAATAATGACTTGGCTACATCCAATATTAAATATTATATCTGGTAATATTAAATCTGGTTTAGAATTGGGTCTAGTTTATAAAAAAGTAGTTTTTGCAATATGAATGTAGAACTATATGCCGCTGAATGTATTTTAAATGTATTGTTTTCTTTTGAAGTAAATATTTACTTAATAGTTTGTGCTATTGTGATTTGTAATACAGATTTTATTTTATAAAAGTGGAGCTCTTAGGAGTCTGTGGAATATATGAAAAGATGTCTGAGTAATCAGCACAGAGCAGCAGTTAGCTATGTTAATCCAAAGTTAGTCAGAAGGCAGGGCAGGGTGCCCCCTTCTAGACTAACTTTTTAACTAACTTTATAGACTTGTTAAATGTTAGCTAACAAGTTAGTGTATAAGGGGTCATTAATACTGTTTCCCTTTCCTGCTGAGATTCCCAAGCCCTGAGCCCCATGTGGTGGGTTGGAGCTGGGCCACACCCCCTACTCCCTTCCCCCTGCAGGGCTAGGTCGAGGCAGGGCCATGCCCTCTCTGTACATGGCTGGAGCCCTTTCTTCACCAC